GGGGGGGGGGGTTTATAAATCAAGGGACTACATTACAGCATGCTACAGCGCATGTCGCGGTGCGACGTGTCACCTCACTCTTTTCGTCCTGGTCCTCCCACCGCGGAGCTGGTCCAGTTGGTCCAGTGGTCCCACGGCCTTTGTGGATGTCATTGAAGAACTTCGAGGCATCTTTTCCGGCCCACCTGTGACATGACGAAGTGGAACCCCAGAAGACGAGCTGGGAAAAAGCTGGGGGAAGACTTCAGTGGCGGAAGTTTCAGCCGCTCCACCGATGCCGAGGCGCGCCAGGATGGTGGTGGGCCCGCCAGGATGTCCTGAGCATGGCGCCCATGGCTGTGACGTGGACTGCACATGGCCCACATCACCCAGTCCACAGACCCGGTTCCGCGACGAATGCATCGGGGCCAGGCTTGGGGGTGCGGGGTGCGGTTTTCGACACTCGGAGGCTGCTACGAACATGGAAGTGGACAACACCAGTACCTGGTACCTCTGAAGAGTGATAATTATCACTCCGTTTTGTAATTGTCAATCTTTTGGACACTGGTGTGAAAAAAGCACTCCGGAGTGAGAATAGTTACTCCAGAATGGTTTTTGTTGCTCCGCAACGTATCTTGAACGCAAAGCGAACGTTAATTAACGCAAAGTGAACGCACTGCGAACGCAATCTGAACGCAATTGCGGTTGGACTGATTTTTTCCACTCCGGAGTGCTTTTTGTCACACCACTATCCAAAAGTTTGACAATTACACAACGGAGTGATAATTATCACTCTTCAGGGGTACCAGGTATACATATACTGTATATCGTCTTTGTTTTTTCTGTATCATATCGTTCTCCATGGTTTTCCTCAACCAAACATGGTGAAAAAGACATCGAACATCGAACACTTCATAACACTTCCTTGTTCAACGTCTCTCACGTCTCTTTTGTTTGGAGGGGGGAGACTTTTGCAGCACAAACTGTGCTCCTGAATGCTCCTGAGCTCTGCCATGCGCAGCTCGAGAAGCGAGGACCGGACCGTCGAAAGGACCCTGTTCGACCCGAGCGGCGGTCCATGAACTCCGTGAGGTCGTAGACCTTGCCGTTCAGCGCCACCCAGCCTCGTTGCCGGGTGCGAGAGGTGAGGCCGGTGTTCATGGAGGCCGCTGAGGCGAGCTTAGACATGGAGGGCGCTGAACTCGTCCGAACAAGGGGATCATTGGAAGGATCATGGCATGCACAACGGAAAACATCATGGCGATCTGATTGGTATGATCTTTTTAACATGCACGACATGTCATGGAAGAATTATATGATATTAGATCGGGGGTTCAAAAGGCTACATGTCATGGACATACCATGGGAATTGGCATGATTGACTCACGTTTCACCCGCTTTTTCAACCAGCCACCCCAATGTACATACGTATGCCAGTCCCATGTAGTGTCTGAGATGGCTCCCCATCCAAAGGATGGTAACCCACCACTTGGCAAGTCAAGGAGATAAGCACCAACATCGTCCAAAAAAGGAGTTGCAATGTTCTCACTGCCTGCCTGTATACCCTCACTGCCTGTGCCTTGCCATCAATCGCGGGCCAAGCAGCAATCTTCAGGAATGCAGTGCCGGTTCACTTCGGACAAAGGGAAGTTCTTGGTGATCGCTGCATGTGGAGCCTGCATTTTTTCAGATCACTCGTCGCGCTTTTTCTTCCATCGCACAGCTGAAGGCTCGATCATGCTAGATGGATTGGGTTGTATATAGTGCTCCTGTGGTCCCCAAATAGATGGAAACGGTTTCTAATACATGGTTAGTGGGGATCTAGTTTCCTATCTATTTGGGGGTCTAAATGTCCCAAACACCCTGGGCCCAGTGGATCGTGATGGTTAGGTTGCAGGCCTTTCACTAATGAATACCGACTGTTACTGGTATTGGCACACCCCCAACTGATGGATTTGCAATTACTCCCCACAAGGCTCTGGCATGCCCTGGGCAGCTTTCCGTGTCTTCTTCCAGGAGTTCTGATGCGAACGGGTAGATGGGGCCTCCTCCAAGAGGTGCTGCGGAACTTGGGGGTGGTCCTGTTCCCCACCACCACCGCCGGGTTGGGGACCACACAACAGCTTCCAAAGCAACAGGGCAAGGCTTCGTGGGGCGAAAACAAGTCCGGTGCGAAGATCAGGTTCTTGCCACATGTTGATCTGGATAATCCTTCCGTCAAGAGGTGCTATGACTTGACCTTGTCATGCACAGGTTCAATCTCTCTTCACCAGGTGTCGGAAGGCCTCCCGGGCGTAAAACTTAAGCCATTCATCTTTCAAATTTCTAAAGCCATTGGCCGTTTGGTAAAGCACTCCGATGGATTGCATGGACCCCTTTCGAAGCACCAAGTGGATCAGCCAATTGTCTTGGCCATACTTGACCGCTTGCATCTGATTGGGTGTCCAAAGTTCTGGAAATCGCCCCCTCCTTTCCGGTAATGATCTGTGTTCTTATAAAAGCATTATTCATTGCTGCCAAACATATCGCTGAACTACCACCCTAACCCATCACAACACACTACTACACCACCAAAAACATCAATACATTACATTGACACACATATTTAAAAAAATATATATATATATATATTGTATATGTGGTGAATCTGGTGTCTTCATGTCTTCCGCTTTGCATGTCATGTGTCAATGGGTTCCACCGCCGACCGGTCCGACTCCATGGGGACTCGAGACGAGTCCTGACTCCCATGAGCTGGGGTGGAACAAAGCACCGGTCATTCATGCTGGCATATCCAGATATAGAACCCAATATGCATGTGTATGCATGTATTTCTTTAAAAACAATATATTCTTAGACGTATATGGCTATATAGTACATATAGACATATAAACATTCTAGAATACCACTAAACATATGTGTCATTCATTCCTTTTCATCCATGTTTCGTGTCTGGGTTTCATCCCAAACCCCAGGGTCTTCGACATCGGTGCCTGTTGAAGGCGGTGCTCGCGCTGGGGCAAGGGCGCCGGCACCGAGCGGTAGGGAGACCCTGGAGATTTCGGGAAAACCGGTGGACAAAGCCGCAGTGGATGGGGAAAAGTATGTGTTTATGATATTTTTTGTGGCGGGAATTTGCGGGGTAGGCCATAGTATGACATAGCGAGGGTATGATTATATGGGATGAAATCGGATTTGGATGATTTGGAAGGAGAAACCTAAGCTCAAGTGCAAGGATTCTCTAAATAAGGAGCAAGAAGAAAGGGCCTGGCATAGAATCTCTAAGTATATAGCTGATGGTCTAAATTGCGGTTAAGGGATATCCGCCCCACACCAGGGTTCCAAGCTGGAACTTTCTAGTAGGGGTCTAGCAAATCCAGTACATGCCGCTAGAATGTGAAAGCACATGAGTGGGGAGTGTTGTGGTTGATAGTGCTGATCAATGAACTTTGCTGAAGAAAGAAGTGAGCACGGGACAAGCCCTCGATTGCAAATGCTCTAGGTGGCCGGGGCACTGCATCACACAACCGATTTTTTCTCATGAGGAATTACGCCGTAAACCGCAAACCCTTTTCATGGGGCTGGGGCTTGCACCTCCAGAATTGTAAGTGCGAGGTGCGGCTTTTCGGGCTTTTGTTTATATAAACCTTGGGTGTCCTATCGCCAATGGCTTGATTTCTGCTGCTAATTGAACACCTGTGCAGGGTGGCAATCCCAAAACGAGCTCCATTCAGGGGTCTGGGCTTCTCAAAAACCTTTTCATGTCGAGGGCCTGGCTTCATAGGGTAGGTAACAGTGGATGATGATGATTATGATGATGATGATGATGGTGGTTAGTATAGGCCTTCCTCCAACATAGTGATGATTGATTACTGACTGTTAAAGGTTCCTACTGTAGGACAAACCCAATCAAACTCTTCAAAACAGGATCGGTTCAATGACTACAGCCTGCCTGGATGGATCATCCTGATATGCACTTCCAGCCTTGGTAAGCCAAGAAAAAAACAAGGAACATCATCGTAGAATACGATCCATAGGATGTAGGGGGCACTCCAGGAGTTTAGGCCATATGATGATACGCTTTCTTCCATCGAGTTTCGCAAGAATAGCTCCACTGTGTAGCTGCGTTTGGTGCGTCACTGAAAACAAAGGTCCACCTGCCCCTGTTTCCCAGAAAGGTGTCCCAAACAAAGGTTGTTCGTCGTTTCTCTCATGGACGTCACCGGTTTGTCCCTGACACTGGCATCCTCGGCCTGTAGAGGGCGGACATACTCACAAGCTGACACACAAAGCACAGGGAAGCAAGCAGCACAGAAATAACACAAGGCCAAGTAAATAGATTGCGCCAAAATCAGTACTGTCACTAACACATGCCATGACACAAAGGTCGCCAAAAAAAGCACATGCATGACGCATACATGGCGCAACACGACCTTATGCAGGGCAACACCAACACACACCTTCCAAAGTCAGGCGTGACCTTGCAAATACATAAGTCACAGCAAGAAAAGAACCAACATGTTGAAGACAGCGGTGCGCTTTTCGGTTGTTTGCGCGATATCACAGAATGTTGCGCTCCTTTCGCAGAACTTGTGCGCTTATGTCATGCTACCACTCTGGTCCCCAAAAATGATATAATTGCAGTCGCGCAAAACGCATGCAAAGTTCCCATTAGGGGTTGTCCATGAACTCGAAATCAATGCCTGCTGCCCAAACTGCTGCAAAACACCAAAGGCATACAACAACATGAAAATATGAAAACAACAAAACACACATCGGCAAAGCCATGGCTCAATAAAGAAAGGTGCTCATTTGGGAGGCCTGGTGGGAGAAAATGAGTACCACTTACCAATTGTTGAGTACCAATTTGCGTGTACCATACGGTGGTCCAGGCATTGCAAACACTTGCACGTCTGTGAAATAAACGCTCAACCAAAAAAAGCGACTACGGCAATCAAACTGTGGCCTCTAAACTGCGTTCAGTCTTTGGGAATATGTACTGTTTAGCACTTGCAACTGATTAATCAATGCTTGAATAGCAGTTATTCTGCGAAAACACCACCATCTTCCCAGCCAGTTGTGCTGTGCAAACATTTGTCCACACTAAACGCTGCAAGGCCCGCCCAAAGTAACCAGGGTGGGTGTAGAGAAAACTGATTTCGTTTGCTGCAAATGTTACATGTAGTATTTCTTTCAAAAGGGCGTTGCCCGACCGAGCGGCTGATTCCTCTCTGGAAAGGCCTCGCAGATCGGCAGGGAAGTGGGTCATGGACCGAATGTGGGCAAGAAATTGAGTCTCGGAGATGTCAATCTGCCGCAGCCCATTGTCCACTTCCATGTTTGTTGGAGGTAAGGGAAATCATCTTGAGGCTCCTCAAGCAAGCCACATGAGTCTGCAGTACACTTTGCATATGTATGGCATTGTATGGCTAAGCTAATATGTTTTATGTGTATATACATGTATATGTATAACATGTTGCATGATGTTGATATATTTTGTATTATTTTGTAGTATATTGTATATGTATATTGTATATATACATATATATATATGGCCAAAGTGAGAGAAAGCCAAGGGTCACCTCAAACGTCATTCCTACAGGATTCCTGCACATCAATGCGCATCAAACCTCGACTGGATGCCCAACCAAACCACCGTGCAGTTGCAAGGAACCATTCCACTCAGAGCAAAGGAGACACGATATGAACCAGGAGCCACAAAAAGGGGTGCTGTTGAGGGACCTTGAGCAAGTCGAAGATGGGAAAAGCCGTGGGTTCCACCGACCAGCCGCAAACCAGGTGCCCCTTCGTTTGATGAATTCCTCCTCCGTTCGGGAAACTCCCGCCTCCGTGCAGTAGCCACATCCCAAGAAGGCTTTGGTCCCATTGGCCAGCATTTTTTCTCCGGCAATCCTGGATCGCGGTTGGCGGATCGGTGAGGCAAAGACCTACGAATGTCCCATACTTGGAGTAGAAAATAACCATATCATATCGCCATATGGCTGTAGGGGAGATGTTGGTTGAACATGAACGGAATGGCCTACCAGGGAGGTCAACCTAAGGTTTAGGAACCGCTTTGACCCACGGCCATATCACTGGTTGCCGGGTTTCTCCCAGGTGAATGGATCACACATATTCAGCAGCAACTTGTTATTTGGGCACATGTGCGGCAGTTTGGCATGACCAAACACATGAAGAAAAAATCATCAATTAAGTTCATTGAAACCATGATTGATCCGTGCCATACAAAAAGGCGAGGTCAACAATAGCTCCTCATGACATCACGGACCTCTACATCCGTGGAAGAAACCGTCGATGCGTGTAATCAGATCGCTTGCAACCTGTTGGTGATCCTCTGGCCATATGTGGTCTCTTGGTCTTCATTCGCATGTAGACGCTTGACAAATACACCCCCTATGTTGGTAAAAAAATATACATATGTACACTTACACCAGGCATGAAAAGTAATTTCCTTAAACTCAAAGATCACTTGAACCAAGCTCTTCGCAGCTTTGTATCCGCGACACGTTGGTCCCCTTTCGAACTGGTGGCGAAACGGCTCAGACCGAAGAATCGATCGAACTGGCTGGACGTTCCGCCCCCTTTCGTTCTTGCGCCCTTCCACCTCGTGGGGTGCTTTGATAGGGTCACCGCAGGTCATTCCCCCCCAAAAAACCTGGGTGTCGACGGGGTCCGCGGGCATGAAATGGCCCGACAGGTCGTGCATGGCCAAGTCTCGATCGGAAGATGGGACAAAAAGCTTCGGTGCCGAGAATGGGACACCACTTTTGAGCCCAAGGGCTGATAATGGAAACAACAGATGCAAAAAGACAGGCAGAAAATGGCAGAAAACCGCCACAGGACTGTTCTCAGGGTCCATTGACAGCCTGGTTTTAGGGCTACCCCCTTGCGGAGGACCACATCAACTCTCAAAATGACTAGGTTGGTGAACGAAAATTGTCGAAAGCTCGGGCTCTTTCTTCTCAAGGACCCTGATCGGATCGACTTCGGGGAGGGACTCTCTCTACCAAGCAACTTGGCCCAAATAAGCCCTAGGGCTCCTGGCCCAAATTTTCAGGTGGTTAGACACCCCAACTCCCCCTCAGACCACCTTCTCAGGTAGGCCAGGAGCCCGAAGAACGAGGCATGTTTCGAGGCATCTCGTTTTCGCAACTCCTCTGACCCCCCGTGCCCAGCACAGACCCGATCGCGGGCTCCGTGCCCACTCCATGCCGGACCGGACCGGTCCGACGGAGTCCGACTGGTCCGAGCTCCCCAAGAGCTTGTGGAGCTCCATATATATATAACTATATATATATATGGCTAGGTTACTCCACCCAAATCCACACCCTCCCCCCTTGACGGCCCGCGCCACTGGGGAAGACCGACTGAGCGGTGACCGGAGGTCCGACATCTGATGGACGCGACTCGAAGGGAAATGAGGGAATGAACCCCCCCAGTGATAGATTCCAGACTGAATCCAGCCACCCTCATTCCTGGCGAGTCGCACCGGTTTGGGATTCATCGCTGGGTTCACCACTGGTAGAGTCAAGTAGGTCTGCAAGGGGTCCTTAACATGTCTCGGTCACCTCGAGGAGTGTACGTACAACCCTTAAGCCAAGGGACACCCCTACAATGGAGCTTGCCCATGAACGATTCTGTTGAATGTTACACTCCCGAAAGCTAACATAGACCCTGACAATGGCCCCCTGGAAGATTGTTTTCCTCTACCAACCAATGGTTTTCAGGGTCCATGGGATCGTCTTCCAGGGTGTATCCTGCATCATGTGATCTGGAGCCAGCCGAACCACATCGCTGTAAATCCTTGGTGTCCTTGTATCCATAAGAGACTAAGAGAACTTCTGGCCAACTCTGGCCACAAAGCTTCCGATTCCCGATCGTCCGTGACTATATGTGTTGAAAGTCATTGCAAGCGCATGGTGATGAGTCTGTTGATGTGACTTAGACTTTAAATGACCTTGATACAATGACCACATAGTTTAACCCATGCTGCTGAACTTGGAGGTAGCTATTCCTGGAACAACTATGGGAGGAGGATCAAACTGGAGCACTGTCCCCAAACTCCCCTGGACAAGTACACTCAACAATCACGCATCAAACCGGGTGCTGGGGGGGTGTAGCAATAGATGCCGCGTGACCCCATGGATGCTTCCTCAGCACTCTGGGAGAATAATGGAGAATATTTACTTCATGTTTGCCAACAGCTACACAGATGTCATTGGCATTGTCCTGCCTTAGAACGCCTTTCCAACTCCATCAAACACCCAATCTCTTTGGCACGTCCGGATCTAGTCTAAGATCACCTCTCGACCGGCTCAGCCAACCTGCCAGACTCTCTGCAGCTGCCAGGAAGGTCACTTGATTGGCGCAAAGGCGCCAAAGGCGCAGGTGGCCTCAGAGAATGCACGTGCAGCCGGCGCCACCCTCCAATGGAGCTGAATAGATCATGATGTGTCCGTGCACGGTGAGAACATCCACCCAATGCACCGACTGGCCCCCAAGTTGAGCTCCCCAACTGGCAACTCAGAGTCTGTGGCAAACTTCCCTTGCAGACCTCTTGGGACCGTCCGGGACCTGTTGGGACCGTCCGGGACCTGGTGGGACCGTCAGGGACCTGGTGGGACCGTTAAAGGAGACTGATTTATAGTTCAATCCCTCCATGAGATTCCCCTCCCGCAGGTGGCAGGTGTTGGCATTCTTGAGTGGCTTTCCCTTTCGGCATGATGAATGAATGACTCCATTTTCTACAGACGTTGACCCCTGCCATCGTCCAAGGCAATGGGATACCATGTGTTTTCATGTGTTTTCACAGCCTTGCGCACCACCCGTTCACGGTCTTCAGAAGCTGGGTGGTAGATGTGAACCGGGATCCATCCAAATGCACCGCCCTCTCAGACCCTCTTCTTCACAGCACACATCGCCGGAGGTCACCAAACCGACTAAGCCTGCACCCATAGCTTCAATTCCCAAGCATGCTCCATGTAGCCAATCATTCTGCATCCACTCAGTCATGTGTCCTGACTCAGGGATGTTCCTCTACCTCCAATATCCTCCAACCCCAAATGCTCCGTGTAGCCAATCATTCTGACCTCAGCCTCAGGGCCTGGAGATTTTTCTGCCACATGTTTGGGCTTTTGGGGAGCATTTTGGGAGCCAAATAGTCACACCAAGGAGCTGAACAAAGTCGTCACCTGCGTCCAACGCTGTGGACCTCCTCCCCGAAGCGCGCTCAGAGCAGAAGTGGCCGTGAGCAGGTCGGGCACTTGACGCGCACGTGTCCAGCGCAGGAGGTGTAAGGATTGGAGCCAGGCTGTGGAGAAGGCGCCTGAGGTGTTGATGGAATGTCATGGCGGAATGACCGAATGTGGAGGCAGTTTATGGCAGTCTGGCTGGATTTTTTGGTTTTGCTTTGTGAGTGTTCGACTTGTTGATGCCCTGAGTTGGATGTTGAGCACTCTTAGTGGGATGATTCAGGTCTTGAGAACAAAAACATGAAACATGCGTTGGACATTGGGATCCATAATCTATATATATATATATTTGGAAATCGCCAACTGGGGTGTGGACACACCCCTGACCACCAAATGCGAGCCGTGATGGGTAATTACAGTACAGTCGTTGTCCGTTTGGTTGCTTTCAGGATACCTCATAGCAGCCTCACCAAGCTGCCTCTGGATGACTGGGATGGGACTATAGTTATGCCCTATGACCTCCAATTCCACCCACCCCCTTTAAAAAAAAAAAAAAAAATAAACATGGCTTGCGTGGATTCTCCAAACTTCAACCCAAGGCAGGCCAGAGCGTGACGGCGACTGAGGACCGGGTCCAAAGGAACGAACCCTGGCACCGAACGAAGGAAGCTCCGAAGGAAGGAACGAAGGAACCGTCCTCGAAGCGAACTCCGGGTACGAGGTGAACTCCCGCAGCTGTACTCAAAAACACATGGGCGCTGCCGTCGTCATCATGCCACCCGAGAGGTGGATCTGTTTGAGGCTCCTCCTCCCGTTAAAGCAAGATGCAGCTGGCGTGGAGCGCATTGCTGGCCACGAGGTTGGGTTGAAGGCCCAAGTCGAGCAACTGGTGGAAGAGCTGAGTAGCCACGCGCCAGGCATCTTGACAGCCTGTGGTCAAACATGTCATAGGAACTTGGTGATTGCTTGACGGTGTGCATGTATGTCCCCCAAGAAGTGCTGGTCAATTTGCGATTCCTACAAATGGATGTCATAGGAGTTTGGTACTGATTTCGATTCGATTCCCACCATGCAAGTCGCTGAATGCAACCAAAAAGAAATTGGAAGCAATGGTCCCATCCGGTTCACTTCCAAAGGGGAAACCACGCTGTTCAGCGTCCGAGAAAAAAACAGGCTCACGGTTCACCTTGTTCCACCATGTCCCTTGTGTGGCCACCGGGATGGTGAACATGTCACGTGTCTTTACCGCACCCCTTTGCACCTAACTATACAGTATATAAGCTTACCTAAATTTGTCGGAACAAAAACTTATTAATGCTAATTACAAGTGAAACAAACTCCAGTATCTTTGCATGGATGCATGATCTTGCCAAGGTGACATGCATCTGTGACATTTTACAATGGGTGTTTTGTTGTTGTTGTTGTTCCCTTTGCTCATTTACTCTCCACTTGATTGGAGACCTACAATTTGCCCCCGGGCCCCCCCCCTGCTTGGTTTGGTTCTCTTTGACCCGTGGCAGATTCAGCAAGGGCTGCAAAAACACATAAACACATGTGTCGGGCGGCGTCAAGTTCCAGTGGCTGCATCAAGCAACCATTGATGTTTCTCCCATGTGCCAATCGAGTGGGATGCATACACTCCGAGTCGAAGACAGTCTGAGTGTCCCAAACAAACAACTTCTTGGCCAGAAACCATCAATGATGCTGGTGAAGGTGGCCACCTCCTTGGCTCCAAACCACTCCTGGACGCGGTGGCCCCTCTGGTCGAGGCAAATGGACCAAGAGTCATTAGTATAGTTCTGTGTTTTTGAGTAATGACTTGTACTCTCTCTCTTGTCTATTAGCTACCTTACCTTTTGAAATGTTGATGTCCCAAATTGACACTTAGTTGAAAACAGCCCAAATTGATTGTTTCCTATGAAAGCCGTGTCTACTGTAATGTCCTTTGTTTTTCGACATTGCTTTACTTGGAGTGATCCCCACCAAGGGAAGTCTGACATGTGTTCTGACATGTCTTCAGGCATTCAGAAGTGCAACAACAAGTTTACTTTTCTTCAGCGGACCGATGCGGACGGTTTGTACTCTCAGCCTGAACTCATATCGTGAGATACCTATGATCATAAAAATTGTTGGATTGGATTCTGATGGATTTTGTCTATTGACATCTATTGACCAATAGTTCGGCAATGGTCTAACCTGATCTGTTGGGCATGGACGACTCATAATTGGCAGCGCCCTCCCCACGAGCGCGTCTCCAGCAGCTCCAGGGACCACCTCCAGCTCTGCAAGCGCAAAGCGCCCCAGACCGCACGCGCGCCCACTTCATCGGCTGAGGACCTCGCGCCGCGCGCGGCTTGGAGCGCCAAGGCCCAGGCAGCGCGGCGTTGGTGCGCGCCCAGGAGGGCATTGAGGTGAAAGGTGTCGGGGCGAACCTGGGTCCGTGGATGAGATGCAAAGGGCGAAACTTATTCATTTGCATTTCATTAGAAGTAATTCGATGTCCAAAACAAGCCACGCATCAACACAATATCAAGCATCACCTTGTTTATTGCGAACGGATGGAAAGGTGTGCCCTGGCCCCGTTCTAGCTCTTAGGTTAACATGAAGCTCGCGCGCTAAAGCTCCTTTTTACCTGGTTGGGCACTTGAGCCAAAAGTATATGGCATGTACCTGTATAGCGACTATACTGGGACCCCATCCCTATTGACACCCCCCACATCCGTACTTCGACGGGGAAGGGAGATGAGTGGATGTAAAAACCGGAGAACGAATCACGTTCTCAAAAGTGTATTGGAGGTCAACCAGTATGTCCTATTGAATTGAATTAGCAAAAGGACTTGCATTCGCTTGAAAGTTGGATCAAACAGGCAATGGAGCTACAAGCGGAAAACGTGCACCTACCTATGGTATCATGCGATTACCAACGGTGTGAAACACAATCCTATCTCACTCCCATGATGCCAAAACGGTCATCATGAATTACCCAAGATCCCTCAGTACTTGAAGTACCGGAAGTGGCATGTCGGTATGACCCCAATGCTCAACCATTCGTGAGTTGTCGCATGTAGTCAGCGCCGACAAAGCCAATGTAGTCCTTGATGAGCTCAACGTTCCTTGGATTTCCCGCTCGGATCTGCTCCTCGAAGGACTTCAATTTCTGTGCTTGGATAGCGGATACCTCTATGCCATAGTAGCGGCATGCAACGAGGATCTCCTTCGTGACATTCTTCCTCTCCGATTTGATGGCGGGACTAATGTCGAT